TACACTTTATAACAGGAGGTACTAGCTGTTGTTGTTGTAGATAATATACTAACATTTAATAACATCCAAGAAGGTCACAGTTAGTTACACAGTGACGTACATCACACAAGTCCGTGAAATTTCATAGGCCTACCGTGGGTAAACATAGAAAGAGCAATAGTAATAATAATAAAACTCGAGCGTCACGACATTGCGAAGTGTCTGCTCTTGTTCCTCGTATCGTACTCACTCGAGTCAATCCGAGATGGCCCGAGTGAAGTTTCATGCAAATGTTTCGTACGGGAAAAAAAATCGCGGGCCGCCTCGACCCGAAAATCTCATTTTGCAGAATTCAGGAGGTCAAAAGGTCATCAACAGATAAACGTCTACAAAACAACATTCTGAGAGAACGCCCCTGTCTGCCGTGCAAATACTAATGGGTTAGATCTGGGTTTTGCATGATTACCTAGGCCTACTACTAACTACTAAAAATATACGCTTTCTGGGGAAAGCACAACTTTCAATTTTTTTTTCTTCAAAATTTCAATCAACATCATGTGAAGCGTGACTGTTGGTGTCAGCAGCCTAGGACCCCGGGGACATAGGCCTAGCTTTAGGGAGGGGCCTAGGACTTCTTAACTCAGCCTGTAGTTAGGCCTATAGTTTTAATATCCTCTTTCTCTCTAGCCTTGGTATTACTGTACCTATCTACACTTTATAAAAGGGAGTACTAGCTGCTGTTGTTGTAGATATTATAGGTCTACTAACATTTAATAACATAGAAGAAGGTCACAGCTAGTTGCACACGATCCCATAAATCCGTAAGATTTCATAGGCCTACCGTAGGTAAACATAGAAAGAGCAATACTGTAATAGTAAAACTCGAGCGTCACGACATTGCGAAGTGTCTGTTCTTGTCCCTCGTATCGAACTTAGTCGAGATGGCCCGAGTGAAGTTTCATGCAAATGTTTCGTACGGAAAAAAATAACGCAGACGGCCCGAGTGGAGTTTCATGTAAATGTTTCGTACGGGAAAAAAAATCGCTGCCGGCATCGGATACACCAGGGTGTTCTATAACAACTCCCTGGATACGCATATTATTTTACGTTTCGAAGCCAAATAAAACTTTCTTTAAACTGATTTATTTTTGTTAAATTTATTTCAATATACACTTGGTTAATCCATCATTGCTTTGAATAGTTTTCTTTGGCAAGCTTGACATCGTTCCTACGAGCTACGATCCCTTAGGCATACGGTCTTCATAGACTGCAGTTTGAGGCCTATCCTATTTCAGGTATTAGTTTAAAAAAAAAAAAAGAAAACGTCATTTATTTCGCCAAATAATGGGAAAAAATGAGGTTTTATGTTGCAGGATTGCCCAAAAGCAAAGAGACTTGCGGCATCGAGGGGCTCTCATAGCCCAACAACAAACAAAAATACTGAACTGTTAAAAAAAGTAAATTATTATATAAAAATATTTAAACAGTAAAAAGCACTAAAAACACAGCAAAAAACAAAATTAAAACTGCTAAAAGGGCAACAAAACTATAAAATAGTAAAAACGTAAATCAGTTACAGTAGGGCTTATATCCAACTACCTGTTATATCTGAGACAACTAGAAAGAGATTGCAACGACCTGAGTTTTCCTTTGTTCTTCCATGGCGATTCGTTGAGTGCATGCTTTTGTTATGTATGGAACGCCATTTACGCAACAATTCGATGATATGATTCATATGATATGAACAAAAAATATGGTCTATAAGGGGCCTAAATATGAACAAACAATATAGTCTATAAGGGGCCTACTACCCATTATATTTACAAATCTCGTATTTGTGAATTAAAATTGTCAAACTATTTGAATTCCAACACGATGATGTGTATTACATTCATTAAGTTTGGATATGAATTTGATTGGGTTCACTTTTGAATCAATGAAACCCATCATTGTGCACCTAGAATGCAAAAAAAAAAAAAACAAAAACAAAAAACAAAATTGAAAAACTAAGATAATAAACTAAACTAAATCTTCTAAAACGTTACGCAAAATATTAGTTAAATAATTATTTCAGTATTGTCAAGAGTGTTGTCACGCTGACTGCGGCATTTTATTGGAATGCAATTTATCGTACCTTAGCAAACGGAAGTTAAGATATGGTACCGCATCTCTAGACACGGCATTTTTTTATTTGGCCTAGGTACGTGTCCCGTTATCTCGATGGATAAAAAACTGCGTTAGGCCAGAACCGTTGGGAAATGAAGGTAAATACTTTTTACGGTGTTCGGTTGTTGACATTCTTTTGTCGGCACTTTCGTTTGTTAACATCATTTTTTTTATCTGAAGCGATTGCGCGACCCCTCATACTTTTTTTCTAGCTAGATAACTGGTACACAAATATTATCTTCAGTATCAATAACTAAAAAATAATTATAACAAAAGCAAATACACATCTACAAAATAAATACCTTTAAAGATTGTTTTATTGCAAAATTCTAACAGTAAGATAATGCTCAAACTTTATTCCCTAAAAAGAACATAATAAAAATACACTAATGCATTTATCTCATTTACAAATTACTTTGCATCATCAATATCATCAGCAATAATCAACACAAATTCAATGAGTAAAATTACTGTACCATCAACATAATTTCACTTACAATTATAAACCCTAAGAAGAAAGATTTTTACCTATTATTTTCACTCTTCTATCATCACTATGCAAAAAAAAAAAAAAAAATTTGTTTTTTATGGGTTTAATTTAAAATATTTTGGAGGACTTTTCTCAAGGAAACATATTTTGTGCACCAGACATTCTATTGTTGGTGGGAAAAACTACTAGTAAATTTTGACCAAAAAAAAAAAATAAATTTTAAATAATTCAGGTCTGAAATAACTTAATATTAATAAAGCTGAAACACTGATTTCTAAAGCTACATGAGTTGTAACAATTTACAGGTATTGAAATGAAATGCACACTACTCATCTAAATAATGCAGACTAAAACAGCAAAATTAATACAATTAAAAACAGAAGATAATAAAACTGTCAAAACTTTCAAGAAGAGTGAACATTTAAAAGGTTGTGTCATTTATGCTTTGTAAAACAACCTGATGGTATATCAGGTTGATTTACAAAGCATA